ACTTGGTTGTCGTGGTTAGAAGGCTAACACAGCTAGCAACAGTTCACCTCCAGAAAGAACTGAAAACTAAAGGTAGGTCATGTCCCTTATTTGATTGAGTTGCTCCCGAACCCAGGCTCCCAAGCTCACGAGAGCTTCCTACTTGGCAATACTCCATAAAGCAAGGACAAGTGTGAGCCCAAACCTGGACTCTGCTGGGCTGTGCTCCCCAGGCCTCATCCACTGGGTGATGTTAGCAGTAGCTTTCTTCTTAATGAGCCACAGCCATGGACACCACAGGTTTCTTCCAGCAGATCTTTGGAACTCAGAGTGGTTTGGAATTCTGCACTAAAGGTTGGTATTGGATGTGAGGATGACCCTTTATGAACACTCTTTCCTTTAATTTCAACTAGCTAATTGTTGAAAAAAAAAATCGGTTCTCTCTCGTGGTTATTGAGAAGACGACCTGAGTTTGACCACATCAGACATATTTCAGTTCCTCGGCAAATCTATTGGTTGATGTACTTCACATAGCAACATTCACTACTAATTTTTGCATTAGTCTTTACAGTATATTGGTTTCTGTGTGAAATGGTGTAGATGAATCGTCAAGTTTAATTCCTAGCTAACTCCGGAGAGAAACCTGAAGGAAACTCAGAGGACTTCAACAACTTGCCCACAAAGAGGAGCCTGTTAAGCAGCAGCCACCACTCAATCTTTGTGACTGAAATGCAAGCCCTACATCTTGGAAGTTTATCCTACCAGTTGATCGGCTACATTCCTTCATAATACAACCTTGCTGGAGGCCTGCACCAACCGTGCTACGACTGTTGAAGTATGCAGACGATGCTCACAAGCTCACAGACCATTGAAGGCGAGAAGGAGCTCTTGTCTTTTCAGTGTTTTTCCTTGCAGAGTATAAACTCAATCCACTGCAGGGTATAAACTCAATCCACTGCAGGAGAATCTCGATGAAGAGCTGCTTCGCTGGCTGATGGTAAAGGCGAACATCCTCATCCCAAATTTGTTTATTTCTTCACAAAGCAATTATCACTCTGTACAAATGGAGCTTCCAGAGGGGCAATAATTTTTCTTGATTGGATTTTGTACTGACATATGAAATGAATAAACATTTTAGTTTCTGAATTAGAGTGTATCAAATTCCATTATAGTATCAATAAAACGAAAGAAGCAGTACATTTAGTGCAAAGCCCCAGGGGAGAAAATTCAAATCACCATGAAATGCTGCATACTTAGAATTTATTTGAGCTAAGAACTTCCCCCACTATACTCATGCGCAAATACACACACAAACACACACACACATCTCTAGATATCTAATTCTATCTGTTCCACAATCTGTATCCATAATGCATTTTAGTACATTCCACTGCAGTGTTAAAGGGAAATAACAATAAGTCTCTGGATTCTTCTCTTTTTGGCCGACCATGCTAACCACACTTATCACCATCCCCCACCCCAGGTACCAGCCTTTGCCCTTTTCAGTCAACCCCACTTCAGCCCGTCTACTTACTTTAGTTCCTTATAAAGTAGTTTCTTTTTCCTCCTTGCTGGAATGAATTTTAATCCTTATGAAAATGTACTATGTTCGTGACAACATTTCAAACTAGGATAGTCTCTCAAATGTCATGCCACTTAGGTGTGAGTGGGGCATTAATTTTTACTTGGTTCATCTTGGAGTAGCTTACACACCATGAACAGTCAAGAAAGAACTCTCGCTAACTCCATATGACCTATATGTGATTTATGTGGTATGAGATGTGAAAGGTTAATGTATTTCATTTTCATTGTTTCCAAATAATCACTACAGATAACCTGTCAATCCTTCCTTTCTCAATGTTTTATTGACTTTTTTATTTTTCTTTTTAAATAACTTATTTTTATTTTATGAGCATTGGTGTTTTGGCTACAAGTATTTCTGTGTGAGGGTGTCAGATTTTGAAGTTATAGACAATTGTGAGCTGCCATGGGGGAACTGGGAATTGAACTCTGGTCCTCTGGAAGAGCAGTTGGTGCTCTTAACCACTGAGCCATTTCTCCAGCCTAATTTTCTTTCTTTTCCTTTTAAATCTAGACTAAATATTGGATAAGGACAATATTTACCACTGAAATAATGTTAACAAAACCTTCCTATTGACTCTAGGTAGTTGTGAGCAGCCAATGAAACACGTGAGAGAAAGTATTTGCTAACAGTCTCATATAAACGCAAGAGATTTTTCTGATATTAGTTTGAATCATGTTGGTGACTAGCTCTCAGACTTAAGTGGCTTTAGGAGGTGTGATTATCCTATCGCCCACATGACATGGGCATAAGCTGGTGTTCTGGAAGATATTAGCTAGTGACAGCAAAGTTATAAATTTGTTCAGACTTGTGTCTCCCTCTCAAGAGTGGACATTACCATTTCCTTCCCAGTATATCCATTTAACTATAATGACTTTGCTTTGGTAAGTGAATGTAAGTTCAAGTGTCCTGTGCTGTAAAAAAGCTCTCCCAATAACAACTTGTGATTTTGTGAATCTCAAGGCAAGTTTCTGTAATTTGTCAAAAATCTCCTTGATATTGGCTATATCACAAAACACTCTAGTGTGCAGTCCAGGGCTGTCCTGGAGTCTCTACAGTTCCACAGGTCACCCAGACACCTCGGGGTTGAATCACCTCTCCACTCTGCATGCCGCTGACCACAGTATTTTGTTTGTGGTGTGTCAAAATAGAGCACTGAGGACAGAAGAAGCCTTCTTCCCTGAGCCTCTTCTACCGCTATTGGTACAAGCTGTGCATGTGCGCAGAGGTGACGTCACTGAAGTACACAGCTGTCTAATGCGTTTTCTCTACTATCAAAGGCTACTCACTACTGTGCTGTGAACATCGAGCCATTGGGAATACCTCTCAGCACCCAAGGGAGTCACGTGCTTCTGACTTAGGTTTTCTATAAGGAAAACCGTTAACAATCTCTGGCAATCAAAGAGGTTACATTCTTGACTTCACACCTATTCCCCGGCTCCAGCCAGTGCCCTGACTAACTTCAAACTCAGAAAGGCCTTCCCAGGCCATGTAACTTAGGCAGCCCAAGTTTCACCCACCTTGACTGAAACGGGAACTCCCTGGTCCTATCAGTCTCATCCAGTCTCATTTCCTCTTAGAAATACTCTCCCTTTCCTTCAGGAAAAACATCTGTTATTCCTTTATCTGTATGACAACATCACTCAACATAGAAAATTCATCATTTTCCTTCCTTCTATTGTAGTAACCGTTGCCAGGTCTGTTTCGTGCGCTGTGTTTTATTCAGTTTTATTATTATTATTATTATTATTATTATTATTATTATTATTACCAAGGTCACACAGGAAAGGTAAACTTGTTTCAATTTATGGGCCCCCTGGGAAGGTTGGAGAGGACCTTTCTAGAGCACTGCGGTGACAGGATTTTTTTTTTTCACCTAAATCCAAGCTTGGCAGAGAAGAGTGTTGTGATTGATTAGTTATGTCTGTGTTGGGAGCAGGAGGGAAGACGTGAGGTGTGAGTGCCATATGTGCATCCTTCCTAGAATGGTGTGCATCAAATCATGCCTGTTGCGTGAAAGGAGTTTGCTTTCTGCTTTAAAGTGAATGAGCATCTAAAATTAATGGACGAGCCTGGAAAACAGGTCATAGATATTGGCGCTGGTTCTGCCCCTTCACCTCTGTCCAGAAAAATGCTCATTCATTAAATTTCTTCCCCCATTAACCTTTACACCAAAGAAGACTTCTTTTCCTATTCTACCCTCAGTGTTCATGAGGCAATTCTTTAGAACCATATGGCCAGCTAGCAACTAAGAATTCTTTCTCTTCTTAAAGATATCAGTGAAAACCTTTTTCCTCCACTGATTATTGCAATCAATACATTGACAACATCTACGGTATCACCATCTGTCACCAAATAAAATATACGAGTTAAATCGAGGTAACTTAGGATCAGGTACCATGCAATAGGAGAGATTCACATGGTTTAGTAAGTGCCAGGAACACTTTATCTGGCTATTTTTAGTTGCCATGTCGCTCTAAGAACGATAAGGATAGGATTCCATGCAACTGTTTAATTATGGGGAAGCACCTTGCAAATTCCAAGAATGCAAGGGCTTCCTTTTGGGGGAACTCCTCAAGTTTATGTTCATGATTCGTTTGGCTTTGCAATAATATCACTCCAGCTGACTCATTTTCAAATCACTTGGTTCTTACTAACTTTTCATTGAATTGTGTTAGACAAACGGTGACTATGGATACAATAGTAATCCTATTTTCCATGAGATTACCATCTATCTTCTCATGTTTCTTCCTAATCGATGCCTTGTTTACTAAGGACTGAAAAGAAGCTGGATACCGAATGATTCTAAGAGAGAAAACGAAAGCATACACGCTCTGTGGAGTAATGAAAACACTGTCTAGCCTGGCTTCACGGATCAGTTCCTTGAGACCACGAACTCTATGTAGATCTAGGATGGAAATAATGCTAGTGGCACCCAATAACCCTAGTGGGTCATCCATCTTGGGCATCAGATAGGCAGGAGGCTCAGTAACAGCCTGCTGTTTCCCATACACCACATGTGACCTGAGGCAAATAAAAAAAAAGTAATAAGATAAAGACAGGAGACGCAAGAAACTCAACAGACACATGCCCAATATGCCTCTTACAGAGGCATATAAGATATTACTGCTTGTCTGAAACACAGTGTCCAATAGTGAATTAATGGGTGCTAATAAACTTTCTTATATTCTTGTGATTGTTAATTTTGCCTGGGCCTTAAATCTAAAAGCACACATTGGTAAAAAAAACATCCATGATTAGGCCTTGACAGAGCTGGGTATGAAATTAGGCTCTGGTAATCACTGGCTATGAGAACACGAGTAAGTTCTTTAACCTCACTGAAACTTTACTTTTTCACATACAAAATGAGGCTAGTACTGCCTCCTCCACACAGTTATAGGGAATAGACGCTACGTACATAAATGGAAATTCAAATTCAAATTTAAAACGCATAGCTACTTTATTAATATTATCCTTCTTATCGTATATTTTCATGCCCTGGGATATGAGTTGGATATAAAATATAATTTTGATTCTGCGTTGCTGGTTTTTTTTTTTTTTTTGTATTGTGTCCCACCCATTCCTGTTTGTTTTTTCTTACCAAAGAGAGACTTGGATACCTGTGTTCCTTTCTCCTTTTAGCACTCTTGTCTCTCTTGGACTGTTAAGCTTGACTATAAGATAACCCCTGCAGCTGATGCACTGAAAGTGTGGTACCCAGTTGCTGGTGCTGTTTTGGTAGATGATTCAAACTTTAGGAAGGGAACATGCTTGGAAGAAGCAGGTGACTGTAGATATGACCGGAGACATGGAAAGAGGCAAGTGGTCTTTCCCCACCCAACTTCCTGCATACCACTAGGTAAGTAGCCGCCCCCCACTATACCATGAGGTTTAATTTCATCTCAGGCTCGAACCTGTGTGCAACCCAGTGACCACAAATTGATATTACTGAAATGATAAGTCCACCTGAATCTTTCCTCCCTTAAATTGCTTTTCTGACGTATACGGTCAAAGCAGAATAGGGGCGAGACTAACACACAACTGCAGCCGAATCCTCTCTACTCTGCCAGAACGAAGCACTCGCTATAAGTTCTTCTGATTTTTCTTCTTTACTACTGGAGAGAAGAAATGTAGATGGGATCAAAACCTACCCATGGAGATATATGATTATAAGGATATATGAATTGGTAGACAGATGGGCAGATATTTATGGATATGTGAAATATTCTGTGCAATTGTTTCCTCATTCATATAAAATAGCGAGCAGACTAGGCTCTTCCTAGGCCTACACCTGAGGATTAAATAAGTTGATATTTGCAGTTCCTTAGGCTAGCGGATGATGCAAAAGTACTCACTGAACAAAGAACAAGATGGAAGAGGAAAGCTATAGTCAGAATATGCAACAACAGTGCTACACCCTATTTTCTTCTTTGCACCCCAATCAAGCAGTGGTAAAATGAAGATGGCCCAACCGCAGCATGTACATGGAGCAAAAGTTGGCAACCAGTAAGTCTGGTTTCAGCAAGGAATGCAGGCTGAGGTGAGGAAGGGCTCCTCAGAATTTGAAGGTGGTTCTGTCTTGTACATGTCACTAGAAATTCCATACAGGGACCTGGGAAAGGTCTGTGTTCAAACTGGTGTTTCTACAATATGCCCAGATCATGTCTCCTTCAAGTAATCACTTGAGACTTTCAAAGTTCATGTTTTCCTTGTGCTTAGCCCAGGATCGGGTGTAGAGGCTGTGGATTTTTGTTGTTGGATATTTTTGGGTCAGGTTTTAAGGGTTGTCTGATCACAAGCCGTGTTGAAACATCAGGTCGATGTTCATAAAGGAAAATCTACAGAAGACTGAGTAATTTTTCCATACGCTGAGAGCCGGTGGGAACGTGTGCTGTTTCCACCTGAGCAGTAAGTCTCTGCAGGAGTCCTGAAACTAGATGCTGAGAGTCCGGGCTGCGGACAGGGCACCAGACACACGTACAGAACTGCAAAGAGAAGCATAGGCATTGTGACTGGCACGTAGAAATGTCTCTAGCAACCTTCTCGAAGAATTTAACTATATACAATGTAGGACTTGAATTCCATTTGACCATTTTTCATTTTTGAAATTATTTTCATTACATATTTTGAAATGTTTTTTATGTTAGATCATAGTTTTTTTTATTTTTTTTTTTTGAGACAGGACCTTACTATGCTGCTCAGGCCGGCCTAAAACTAGCTGTGTACACCAGGTTGGCCTCAAAGTTAAAGCATCCTCTTGCGTTGGCCTTCTGAGTATGAGAGTTGAGATTACAGAGGCATGGGTTGAAATTTAACCAAACCGGGCTAGATTAAAGATGAACAAAATAAAACACAACAGACAAACAGAAGAAAACCCTACAAACCAAAAACCAAAGCAAATGCTCTACCACCCATTTTAGAAAACTCTGTTTACCATTGGTCTAGATAGAAGGAGAAAGGATGGGATTTGTGCTCAAATCTGTGATTTTTATATTTACATAATTCTGGAAGAGAGGGGTGCCTGTTGACTGTGGTGTTAAAAACATCAGTTAATGCCTCATAAAGCACTAGCTATTCTCTAGTCGTGTCAAGATTAGACCTTTTAGTAAGGGTCATTTGATGGGTAGTATGGACTTAATATAGTAGAAACTTCTATATATGTACATGTGAGTGTGTGTGTGTGTGTGTGTGTGTGTGTGTGTGTGTGTGTGTAAAGGCAAACTAAGTAAAATCCCCAATTAATAGAGAAGACAGAGCTCCAAATCATATTTGTCACCAAAGGAAGCTTTCAATACCAGGATTGAGTTACATCTAATTAAGTTGTTGATCAAAGGGACCCCATGGGAACTCCAAACAACTCACGCTGCTGCCAAGACTATTGGTTGTTCTCCACAAACTGATGACAAGTTCCATTGCTAAAGACAACACCTACACAACTCATTGACCATGGAAAAGTTGAGCTGGTGCCTACACAGGACCATCACCTCTATGTTCTAGAGTCTTAGGTACAGGAAGGTGCTCTGCTCACTACGAAAGGCTAAATATAAACATCAACGCAGCCTCATACTGTATGATCAAGAATGGTGTCCTGCCTGCAAGATATGCTTGGGCCATGATGGCACAAAGTTGGTGAGAGTGACCAACTAGTATCTAATTTGGCCAAAGGTCCACTCCATGAGATGGAACCCATACCTGACACTATTTGGGTAACCAAGAACCTGACACTAGATAGCCCAGGGTCCTAGGGTAAAGTCAAATACTACTGTTCTAAAAACAAAAAACAAAATACAATAAAATAACTCCTAATGGCATTCTGCTAAACTTACAGATCAGTACCTTGTTCAGCCATCATCAGAGAAGCTTCCTCCTGCTTCCTCCTGCAGATGGGAACACATACAGGAAGACTCGCAGTCAGACTTTATGCAGAGAGTAAGAACACTGAGCCCTAACCAGGATGTCTCCATCAAATCCCTCCTGCCAGGGCTCAGGGAGCCATGCTCTAGAGTAGTGTCCTTTGCATATATATAATGGATTCCAGTTTAGTGGTTTTATGGGATCCCTGAGTGTGCAAATGGTTGCCTGTCTCTTTCTAGAGTCTTTTCTTGGACTCTTTCCTTCTGTTTGTTTTGCCCAATCCTGATAGGTAAGCTTTTGATTTGTTTTATCTTATTATATCATATTTATTTTATACTTTATTTTTATTCCTTAGAAGACTATTTTATAATGAGAGACAGAAAGGGGGTGAATCTGGATGGAAGGATAGTTGGGCAGGGGAACTGCAGGGATAGAAAAAGGGGAACCATAATTAGGTTATATTATGCGAGAAAAAAATCTATTTTTAATGAAAGGAAAATCAAAAATCATTTCTTGTTCCAAAATTTACAAAAGAGACAATGTTTGTTGCTCAACATAATCATTTATAGCTATAACAATCTATATGTATTAAGTAATAAAATATAGTTGATGCCTTTCTGTATATGTGTTACTTTTATTGGTTGATGACTAAAGCTATTTGGGCCAGAGGTTTAGCAGAGTAAAGTCAGGAGAAAAATCAGATCAGAAAGAAAGAGAGAAAGAGAGAGAGAGAGAGAGAGAGAGAGAGACAGAGACAGAGACAGAGAGAGAGAGAGAGAGAGAGAGAGAGAGAGAGAGAGAGAGAATGCAAAGTCAAGGAGAGGAGATGCCATGTATCTGCTGAAAGAGAAAGACACCCAGAACACTTACTGGTAGAAAACAGCCTAATGGCAATGCACAGATGAATAGAAATGGATTAATTTAAGATGTAAAAGTTAATGAGAAGCCTGAGCTAATTGGCTAAACAGTGCTGTAACTAATATAGTTTCTGTGTGATTATTCAGTTCTAGGTGGCTGGGAACTAACGAGCAGTATCCATCTACACATAGTAAAATAAAATATAATGAAACAAAGACTATCAAATTGGAGTCAGATCACACAATAAGGAGGAAAAGAGCTTACGATAAGGCACACAAATCACAGACCCATCTATTTGCATACTAAGAAATACCATAAAAATGCTAAACTGGAAGCCATAATATATACAGAGAGGACCTGGTACAGACCTATGCAGGCCCTGTGCTTGCTGCCTAGGTCTCTTAGTTCATATGGGCTTTGATCATGTTGATTTAGGGGGCCTTGTTCTCCTCTCTGGCTCTTACACTCTTTCTGCCTCCTCTCTGCAATATTTCCTGAGCCCTAAGGAAAGGCATTTGGCAATGGAGACATACCATTTAGAGCTGAATGTTCCAAGGTCTCTCACTCTCTGACTGTGGGTCTCTGTATTTGTTCCCATTTTCTGGAGGGGGAAGTGGGAAGCCACTTTGGTTACTTAGGGTCAAGGAAGTACAGCAGGAACCATGGAGGAATAGTTCATGCTGACTTGCATGCCAAGCTCATGTTCAGATAGTATTCTTATATAGTCCATGACTATATTCCCAGGGAATGAGTCTATGAATATACAAAAATGGTCAGACCTATATTTTAAGCCCAATATTCTCACTTACTACCCAGTTGGCCTGAGTCAGATCCTCATTTAAATTCTGTAAACTTTCAACTTCTGAAAGTGTGAAAAAAATTACCTCTTATGGGTTACGGGGTCAGCACAGGGTGAGACATTCACTATGTGTGGTATGTATAAGTGTCTGAGGGACTGCATATATTTATGTTTATCTTTATAATGAGTAAGTATAGACAGTTATTGTTTTGATTTCTGTCTTTCAGATAAGAAACAGGAAGCATAGAGGCTTGACTGATTTTTCAGTACAGCCAGGAGTATGTTCATAAAATGTTGGCTCATTGTTTCTTCAACGTCTTTGTCCATGGCTGGTGGGCTTAGGTAGAGGTTCAATTCCACCTACCCTCTTATGTATTAGATGTACCTAATAATAGGGAAACCTGCTACCAAATCCCCACTTCTGGTCACATTTTAGAGGTTCCTGAAAGGAGAAGCATCCATGAAGACTGGATGATCACTGGATAACTTGCAATTATGTATGCAAACAACATGGATGTCACTATTTGCCAACATGTCATCTTGTGTATTTAATCATATGTGTGATCAGCATCGATGCTTAAACATTGGTCATGTGTCAGACCTTATGCTAGGACACAAGTATGTCAAAGGTGCAGTGGTACACACTTCAGGGTTGAGGGGAAGTTCACGGGGCATGGTAGGCCTAGTCACACAACTGTGGAAATGGGAAAATGAGAGGGAAGAGACATGGGTAAAGAAGTGGGGATTTGAACACACAGTCTTGTCTGCCTTTTTGAGGGTCTCCTTACCCACTTCTAAGGCAAGGAAGCTCCTGGGCCCAGCAGCAAGCAGCCTTCACTGGGCATTCACTTCCCATTCTCTAGCTGTGGTCACTTTCTGTCCTAACACAGTGAAAGAGCGCAGGCTGTTCTGAGGAGTGCTGTAAGGACAGCCCTTTGGGTCCTACAGGTTTTAAGATTAAGACTGGCTCAAAAAATGATGACTTTAATCCTGTTATGAGGTCCCTCTGGATGAGACTGTCCCCTGTTGATGTGAGACAATTGTCTATATTCTGTCAATTATGTTTTAAATAAATGCTGATTGGCCCATAGCCAGGCAGGAAGTATAGGCGGGACAACCAGACAGGAAGTAGAGGTGGGTCAATGAGAACAGGAGAATTCTGGGAAGAGGGAAGCTCCCTCTGCAGTCCTGTCCAGACACAGAAGAAGCAAGATGTGACTATGCCGCTGAAAAAAGTACTGAGCCATGTGACTAACACAGATAAGAATAATGGGCTAATGTAAGTTATGAGTTAATAAAAAGCCTGAGCTAATGGGCCAATCAGTTTATGATTAGTGTAGACTTCTGTTGTGATTTCTTTGGGACTTAATGACTATGGAAACTGGGCAGGACAGAAACCCCAACAACACCCTGTTTCATCTCTAAGTGTCTCCTCCCATAGGGCTCGTCTCAAATTGTTTTTTAAAAATTATTTTATTTTTATTATATGTGTACCAGTGTTTGCCTGCAGGTACATATGTGACCACATACATGTCTGGTGCCTGTGGGAGCCAGAAGAGAACATGGGATTCCCTGGTTTTTTTTTAAAGATTTACTTATTTAATATGTATATAGTTTTCTGTCTGCGTGCCAGGAGAAAATACCAGATATCATTATGGATGCTTGTGAGCCACCATCTGGTTGCTCGGAATTGAACTCAGGACCCCTGGAAGAGCAGCCAGTGCTCTTAATCTCTAAGCCATCTCTCTAGTCCCATCCATCTCAAATCATGCTCTTCCACTCTATGAACAGAATTAGTCAGCTCTTCTTGGGTGTTTTAAGGTGCACTTTCAGCAGACGGTGTATTGCCTAAGTATACAGTTGGGGAGCATAGACACCTAAATCTCTGCCCGTGAGTTGATGTGTCTCCATCAGCTCTGCAGCATGCTGTCCAGGGAAATAAAGACTTTTGGATGACTGATGTTCTTCTCTGTT